AGTGATGATAAACTGATTGCACCTCAATTGTGCACAGTAATGACACACTTACTGAATCATTAACAAGCATCTGTTTGTGTGTACATGCAGGGTGAAACTCGGAAACGGACAACAGCCAATTGCACTGTAAAATTAGTCCAGGTACTATTTGACTGTACCTCAGCGACCCCAACAGCTACTGGTAGGGCCTCCCTAGCCAGATTGGTCGAGGGGGAGAGGTCAGACTAAGACAGGTACCCTGGTCCTCCAGGTTGAGGGTTGGTCGCAAGGCTAACAACCTTGCACCGTAAAAAGGAAGACGTTTCGAAACCTCGATCAAAGCCTCGGACGGACGGACCTAACAGAGGACCGAATGGAAGAGGAGAATTGAGGAGGCCATGGACCGAATACGGACCGGAGAGTCATAGAAGAAGAATAAGAACTATTTGACCGTAATTGCATACCTCACAGGACTACGGCATTGTGTTTTCCTAGTACATAAATTGTCACATAAATCAAGAGAGTAAATTATTATCCTTATATAAATTGTGTGCGCTCTTGTCCTGTCACTGTTTCATTTGTATTTATTGTAAACTTTTATGTAGTACTCTTATTGGGAAAATACCTGGTCACATCGAAGGAATCGCATATTGTGACACGTATTTGCAGTGATGCTACGTGAATGTTTCCTGGTCTCCTCCCCACCTCACATAGTGAGTCTTAGCCAGCTGGTAGAGCAGTGCATGTGTGTAATTCCAGACCTCTTAACCTTCTCGAAAACTCCAGTAAAGCCAATTTACGGAATAGACAAAGGCAAGTAGATTTTATTAGTGGCAAATGAAATTTCTAGCAGATGTTCTGGCTTTATAATAGGTGCGTGAACCATGATTACGTCGCAGTATGTGAAACAAAACGTTCTACATTTCAAAACTACGTAATGTGTGATAGTGCATTACTCTCTCGTCACATGCTCTCAGCTTAAATAAATTTGCCCCTCACTCATCTAAATGTAATACTGTTTCAGTTTGAATTTATTTCAGTGAAGGTCCTACACATTCCTGATAAATATATGTATCACAGGACCACTACAATGTATTTCCTAGAATGTAAATTGTCACATATATTGGAAGAGATAATTATCGACATAAAATTAGTGCCCACTGTTTGTCTCTTACTTTTGCATTTGTAGTTGTCATTGTAAACTTTAATGGCTTAGAAATATCCAGTTAATGCCCAGATTTTAGATCTATATCTGAGAGGGTAATGTAAAAACAGTTGCATCTTCGAGTGACCTTGACTACTGCTAAACATTCAGCCAGATTGTAATATTTAGCATGTGAATAATTGACATCTTTGTCATTATAATCATCATCATAATTTTTCAATGATTGTTACTTTTATCTGTTGTTTGAAAAATATATTTTTATTAGTCAATTTTAAAGGGTTCTGGTGGTGTGTTGCACTCGGGATTACTAAATTCTTGGACGTTGTTCATCTGGTATTCAAAAGAACATCATACCGCCGTGAAAACCTCAGATATTAGGTACTGAAGCTGTTGGTCTCAATGTTTCAGAATTTCAGTAAACAGAAAAGTAGATTCATTCTTCATAGTTTGTTTCTTTTGTTGAAGAATGCAATGAATAGATTATACTTTATTTTATGATTTTCTGCCAATTTATTGCAGCTGTGGCACTGTATGAACAGATTTGAAGTCTTGTATTTTAAAGGTTCAGGGCTCCTTCTGAACTTTGGCAAACATACTTTAATTATGTAAGACTTGAGGTTCTCACAGCGGTGAGTATGAAGATATCCGTCTTCTGGGTTATTGCGCTGTGTAGTCTGGTCGATGTTAACCAACGTTTCAGAGGTCATACTGCCTCCGTCATCAGGGCGATGAATATGCCAATAGGGTGTGAGGAGTTGGATTTTATAGGCAGGGAAGTAAAAGGTGTAGCCTGCCCCGAGCCAATGGGAGCAGGTATGGGAGTGGACCAATGGTAGCACGTGGGCGAGGGTGGGAGAGGGAGAG